AAGGGACGAAGTCATCGGGCGTGTGCACAGGTGGGGAAATTGGCTCATTCCCCATTTTAAGTGACCCACTTTCCCCAAGACTAGCGGGGTACTTGCCCTGAACCACGATACGGTGTTAACCTTATTGAAATTTAATAATAATCACAAGCCCCCTGGATATAGCCCGACAGCCTTACTTGGCACTGGGGACGTGGGTGGCAAACATAAGCTCTGGGAGAACTGGATTCCCAGTTGCCATACTCCAAGTTTACAGCTAAGATGTTGGGAAGTTCCCCCCAGAAGTTTGCTTTAGTCACTGCGGCCAGTAGTAACCTAAAAGGCCCACCTCACCAACCCATCAGACAAGCGTAGGTTGGATTCAGGAGCCAAGGGTGTCCCTGGGGCTTTGCCTCTTAGGAAGATTTCTTTAGGCCCAAACGTCTAGGATTTGAACGAGCACTATTTTCCCTAGTTACCTTTAGAGGAAGACTCGTTCTATTTATTTTTATTTTTGTTTTAAGCAGAGCCGTATTTAAAAAGGCTCGTTCTAAAAAGAGATCAGGTCAGAGTCTGTTTTTGACTAGTGGGATTTTTCCTTCAGCTAAACCATTGGCTCTGCTTGAAAATATGCCAACACGGGGACCATGTCTGCAGCGCTTTGAACTTAAAAGCGGCTAGTAAAGTGGTGAAGGGAGATCACAAAAGAGAGCTGCAAACAAAATTACCAAAAAGATAATTACTGTAGGGAGAGTCGCCCTCCAGGTACCAGAACAGAAAAGTTTCAGACATAAGCTTATGTTAGCAGCGACACGACGGATTTCAAAGTTTGCCCTCAGTAAGTTTAACTGACCAGTTTCTAGTAACAGTTGTTTCTAATAATGCAGAAAAACTGAGCATCGTGGAGCAAATGAAAAACCCAAGACCGGGGTGCCTGGGTGGCTCAGTCGGTTAAGGAACCGACTTTGGCTCAGGTCATGATCTCGCAGTTTAGGAGTTCCAGCCCCACGTCGGGCTCTGTGCTGACAGCTCAGAGCCTGGAGCCTGCTTCTGATTCTGTGTCTCCCTCTCTCCGCCCCTCCCCTGCTTGCTCTCTCTCTCTCTCTCTCCCTCTCTCCCTCTCAAAACTAATAAACATTAAAAAAAATTAAACAACAACAACAACAAAAAACCCAAGATCACCTCCATTACCCAAGATACAAGATGAGATTGAAAAACTACCATTTGTTTTGGGTGCATTCATTTTTAAGGCTGATGGAAACTTCAAGAGCACACTGTTGTTACGTCGCTTTATTTTGTAAATGGTTTAATTAACATATTGAAAACATGGTTGTATGAATGAAATAGTCCTGTGGGGACTCTCCTACCCCCTGATTTGAAGGCAGGATCGCAACTGATCCTTTAAAGAAATAGATTTAAACATGGTAGGAATAACGCTTGGTTATTAAGTTACAAACGTATTTGGTCTTCTGTTAAAAAATATGTATGCACTAATGGTCAAATGTTTTGGCATCTCTATTTTTAAGTACTCGGTGCATGGCTACAACCCAGAGATCATTTTTTTCCTGTGGTGCTTTTTCCTTATTTATTTTTGGAGAGTTGGGGCCAAATCCTTTCCATCTTTGACCTTTGGGTTCTTTTCTTTTTCAGGAAAACAACAATGTATACCTTTCCCAGGATTAAACATACACACGTACTCACATGCCTGATAAACAGTTCCCAGACTTGCTCTTCTGACAAATAAATCACTGCTGGTAGATCTTTAAAACGTCAAACTTCTCATTCAGCCTGAGACCTGTCACTGTTCATGTGTTTCTTAGACAGCACCCCAGGCCTTACTGATTGGCATGGTTCCACGTGTCAGAGTCGTGAAATGTACAAGACACCTACGCAGACTAACCCTGTCCCTGCGATTGTTACAGGGTTTTGTTCGTTTTGTTTGTTTTTTGGCTTTTTTCTCCCCCTGTCTTCTTGGGGGATTTACTGCTCTCCCAGGCTTCTGGCCTCCCAGGGAGGTCACAGGGCTTCCTGTCTTTGGACACCCGGGTGCCACCAAACCTTGTTCCAGGACCTCCTGGAGAAGTATTCATCTGCTTTATGCCACCTCTCCACCACTACTCACAGGCAGGCCCAAAAGGTTAGCCCAGAAGAGCTTACTAAATCTAGAAAGGTGACTCCTGATTATTATCCTAACTTAAAAAAAAAATTCTTACAGACCTAATAATAGCATGGGGAACTGGTTTTGATATCTGACCTTGCTCTGTAAATATGTATATTGTTGCAATTCCCCAAACCTTAACGGGCAAATATGTATATTGCTCTGTAAATATGTATATTGCTCTGTAAATATGTATATTGTTGCAATTCCCCAAACCTCTCTATAGAGTGCAAACTGACACTATTAAAAATGTAGGCATGTTGGGGCGCCTGGGTGGCGCAGTCGGTTAAGCGTCCGACTTCAGCCAGGTCACGATCTCACAGTCCGTGGGTTCGAGCCCCGCGTCGGGCTCTGGGCTGATGGCTCAGAGCCTGGAGCCTGTTTCCGATTCTGTGTCTCCCTCTCTCTCTGCCCCTCCCCCGTTCATGCTCTGTCTCTCTCTGTCCCAAAAATAAATAAACGTTGAAAAAAAAAATTAAAAAAAAAAATGTAGGCATGTTGTGTAAGTTAAGAACAAGTGTGTGTTAGAAAAGACGAACAGTACATATACCCAATTGTATGGCAATGAGTAGAATTTTCCTTCCCTACCTACTCTATCTTGAATAAAAAGATAAAGAATACACTGGAAATACTGCAAAGCAAGGGGATACCTTGGTGATAGGCTGCCATATAGAAATCAAAGCATTTTATAATATATAGCTACTTCTGTCCACGAAGTCAGTATGGGGGCCAAGAGCTCGTCTGATATAACATTAGGTCTTTATACCAATTTAGGTATTGTCTTCCTGCCAAAGACTTGCCTACAATATGAGGAATTTCCAAATTTCATCATGTCAGTGTCAGCAAATAAGGAGTTGAGGTTATTACCCCCTAGTCTCAGTGTTAGCCACAGCTCTGAATGTGCCCCTGTGTATGTTGCAGATGAATTACTCATTGAGATTTACTACAGGGAACATCACTTTTATTAACATTGTAACCTGACCTGAGTTGCAGACTCCCTGTCCAACACAAAAGGACTCTTGGCCCGAGAAAAACGTTGTCTACCATTTACTCTTAAGTCCTTGTCTGGAAAAGGACCATCCAGTTAGGAAATTATCCAGATGTGATGATATTGCCAGGTAATCGGATAGCCTATTAATTTTTACTATTGGTACAGGGATAAGACAAGAAGGATAATGACATAAAATTCAAATCAGTCCACCAAGTGAGGTCTGATGCGACAGAAATGAGAAAGTCCAGCTTTCCAGTGGGCTCAGAGTCTTTCTGTGGATAGCCTCCCAGACCTGCACTGCCAGACTGACTACTGCCTGGGATGTACGCTTCCAGAGCCTCTGGGGGCTCCCACGCCTTTAACTCAGATTCAACAAAGGCAGCCTCTGACTCACCACGTGACCCCCATCCTCTCCTTGCCCATTGCTACAGTTTGTAGTCTTCTCTTCTAAGTGGACACTTTCGGACTCACCTTCGACTCTCCTTCACTTTCATTCTGCCATTAATCTCTGACCTTTTCCCTTCTCATTAGCATGGTGGCCTTCCTTCCCTTCTTTCTTTAATCAGGTCCAGGTCCTCGTCCCCTGTTAACATCTGGGCAAGAGCTTCTCGGCTTTCCTTGCCTTCTAACAACGGCCACGCCCCTCCGCCCCCGTCCCGCCCCCTCCCCCACACCTCCCTGCCAGGAAATGTTTTGAATCCCTGTGGGTATGTCATGCCTCTGCTCTAGAACTGGCTCTCTTAGGCTCAGTAAATGTTCTTGTTTCCAAGAGCCTCTGTCTCCGGAGATCCATCCTTATTTCCTGACACTCCCCAATCCTCTCTTTTATTCTATCCCTTACACGACAGTTTCCTCCCAGCCTGGTGTTGCTAACACTTTTCCTCAAGGTCTCAGCCCACGCTGCCTAAATCCGAGCCTCCTATTCCAGTTGCAGCCCAAGTCTACCTACATCTGCCACCAAACACCAAATCACCTTCAAGTTCTTTGGAAACTGCTCACCTCTCCTTGCTGTCTAGCCCCAGCCCCACCCAGGTTAACGCTTACTCGCTCTGTTGGCGCATTAGCCCTGCTTCCCCATAAGAGCGTGTGGTGTGGGTCTATACCACGTTTCTCTCTTCTCCCTCTTCACCTACTCATTCTTCATTCCCTCCGCCAGACCGAGGGCACAGAAAGAGATCAATAATGTCCCTGCCTTGGAACTGAAGTTTGAATTCCTGCAGTTTCCAGTCTATTACCTTTTATCCTCCTCGACCCCAGGGTATATTTTAAATTCGAACATTTCTGACTTTGTTACTCTTGATCACAATTACACCGGGTCACCGAAGATTTAGCACCAAGTCATTTACATGCCCTAAGACCTAAATAAAGCCTCGAGGTTTTGTTTTCTAGCTAACCTCTGCGGGGGGGGGGGGGGGGGGGGGGGGG